TTTTTTTTTATATTATTAAGCAAAAGCCCGAGCTTTCATGGCTTTCCTTCTTCAGGTTCTGTTCATTTGCGACTGGATTTCTTACTCCGGGATTTCTTCTTCGATGAGCGCTTTCGAGACGAGGAATTGGAGTTGTTTCGATGTTTTTCAGTATTGTCATCTTCCCCTTGATCGTGATCGTTATCATGTTCCTCTTTTTGCTGCTGTTCTTGTTCGTGTCCCTCATCGTCGTCGTCTACCAGAAAGCTGTTGTTATCGACAGATGACGGAGCCAAGAACGTATCGGACACCTCAGTAGCGTTATCAAGTTCCGTGTCACGAAATACCCGAGGATCCTCACGATACGAATTAAGTACAGATGCGTACGAGTCGTCAGGAGACCTCGCAGATAGCTGCGTTAAGCGATCGAGGTTAAAATCCCCGCCATCGTCCACGTGTTTTGTTTCTTGATCATCATCGTTGGAGTCTTCCTTTGCACTTCCGAAGGCCTCCTCCTCCTCTTCATCTTCCACTAAATCAGTCGCTTCTTTTCGAATTTCTTGAGCCATATTGCGGTCGCTTAGATCCCAAACCAACGCATGGCTCCGACTCTCGTCTTCCTCATCGTCTCCCAAAGACTTCATCGACAAATCCTCTTCATCTTTGACCTGTTGACGTCGTTGGCGCCACGCTTCCTCTTCGGCTGTTGTAACTTCAAGGTCGTCGTCTCGCTTGCCGAGCAGCTTGTCCTCTAGCGAGCCATCCAGGAGATCTTCGACGCTGCGATCCCGCTTCGAGCAGCAGGAACAGATACTCCCCATTGGATTAGAGGCTAACGGAAGGACGTCTCAGGATATGCGCGGCCCTTGAGCGCTTAGGTTGCATAATATGGGTATGCACAATTAGTGCAACGTATTTTATTTTATTTTTTAGATAATGTAAAATAGTTTTTGTTGTTGCGAATCCAACGAAAATCTCTTACCTAGGAAAAGTGTTTGAGCTTCTTGGTCGGGGAGTCCACGTTGTCAATCACAAGTTTTGGCTTTCGACTCTTAGGTGGGAGTTTGTGTTTCCACAAGGTGCAGTTTGCCAGGTACTTGGGGCACTTGTCGTGGCGGTTGGTGCCTCTGCATTTTTCATTTCCAGTCTTCTCGAATCCTTCGCACCACGTCCACTGGTAATGCTCGCAACTCTTGACCTTGTGGCCTTCAAACCGCGTAGGAACAACACGCACAACCACTGGAGCCACATCTTCCATCAACTGTTTCTCGAGTGCCGTTGGTGTGAACGTTTGTCCTTGACTCGCGCAAAGTGCCTGATGAGCTCGGCGTTTGGCTTCTGTGCAGCGATTACAGATCTGGAACGAGTGCATGAATCGCTCTAGATCAAGTACACCTACACCGTTGATATCCAGAGCGTTGAACAGCGTCTGGGCATCTGGAGTCACCACTACGTTGGCGTTTGGTGACGTTGGTGTCGATCCGCCGCAGTTAGCATCAGTAGAGTTCTTTGGATCAATAGCACTACTTGAAGCTTCTTCCTTCACTTGGTGGTGCTGCAGCAGTTGTTGAAATCTCGGCAAAGTCAGCACTTTAGTCGTTGGGTCACAGAACTGGTGAAAGATCTGCACGAGTTTGAAGTCGGCGATGTCCGGCGTGATTGCCATGCGCGCCACCTTACTGGACGCCGTGGACGACGCGGAGACTGTACGTTGAATAGGTAGGCGGGGTTTGATAGGAGCAGCAACTTTGGGTGGAGGCATCGAGCCTGTTCGACGATCCATTGGTGCAATTGGCACTCCGTAGCTTGCGTTCATCTTGAGCATCGTGTTCATAGCGGCCGTATTAGCCATCGCCATTGCAGCAGCGAGTTGGCTGTTGGCATTTACCTGCCCTTGCGGGTTGAGGAAGAAGGGCTGAATCTGGTGGCCATAGCTGTCCATAAACTGGTTTGCAGCAGCAGCGTATCCGGAGGGTGAGAAGTAGTCGAAAGGCACATTAGGTGCAGTAGCGTTGACTAAGTTAAACGGGAGTACTGGTGCTCCAGAGAACATGGCTGGGTTGATGTTATCTGGTATTGTGCCGTTGCTATCCGCAGTACCAGTGAGATCGAAGACTGGTTGCTGAGCTGTGAGGAAGGTTTGAGAACTTTCGAAGATCGAGTTGAACATGTTGATGACATCCGGGATTTCTTGCTCATTCATAAGAGACCCAGCATCTGCTACCGACCCGTTCGGGACAGGATCGTGGGGCATTGCATCATCAAGTCCCTGCAACGGAGACTGCGCACCAGAAGAGGTTGAAGCATTGGACAGCTTCGAGGGTGACTCGACCATAGCAGATAGCTCAGAGTCCGTAAACAAAGGCAGGATGTAGTCCTCGTCACCTGAGAGCATGAACGGTTCGTTGTCACCGCCTCCTTGTTCCTCTTCACCTTCTTGCCCTCCCTCATCGCCTTCATCTTCCTCATCTTCGTCAGGCTGTGACTCAACTGGAGCGGCATTCGCCTGGCTGATACGGCGTTTACCACGTGGAGACGTGGTAAACCCCGGTTCATATACGCACGTTGTGGACAGCAGCGCAAAGCGTGCCGGCAGCGTGGCTGTTGGCGTGCCATTCGCCTTTGCGTTCTCATACTGCGATAGCCAACTCTCCTTGGACGTGTTAAGCATTTGCGTGTCTATCTTCAGTCCAAGCCTGTTGGCAGGCTCCTGCTTCACTTGGACTTGGTTGGGTTCTTCGTGAGGCTCCTCCTTCATAATGGGACTGAGAGGCTCCAGCTCGGCCACATCAAGGAGATCGTCGTCATGGCCTACAGCAGTAGTCACTGCGAGGTTCCACAAATCTGTAATTATAAACACGTTTTAGAATTATGTTCTGAACTAGATTTGGAAGTCTTGTATTGTACTCCTTACCTTCCACTCCCTCGTCGTTGTTCGGAGAGAAGAAGGCGTCGAAGTTGAGCAAGTCCGTGTCCATGTCCTGCATCGTTGCTAGTTCCATGAGCGTAGTGGGCTTGCCGGTCGAGGATCCAGATGGCTTTTGACCAAGACAGCCAGCCATGCTGATGAACGAGGATCTATTCCCAGCCTCGCCTCCATTGCCAAATTTACTCCCTGTCAAGTTGAAGCGCTGGCTAGTGGAAGCGCTGCTGGCTAGCTGAAGTCTTATGTATCCAGCTTGTTGGAGCTAGAGATCAACATAGCACCGCTATTTCGAGAGCGTGAACCCGCTATTTCCGCTGCCCGGCATCTGGTTGGCGTTGACCCGATCAAAATACCGCTGGACAGCAGCCGTCTCAGACTCGCTATGGATGTCGCTGGCTCCTGCACGTTCTTGCTGACCTAGTGTTCCCTACAGCGTCGAATGAAGTGTGGCGTGTGGCCCAGGGCAAAGCCGTGTAGGCTACAATGTAGCCACCTCGAATCCAGCATCGGATCCCTTCCTCAGACTTTTCAGAATCCGATACTATCGATTTAGTGATGTCATATCCTGTTCGTCGAACGTTGCAGTGGGATCCGTTGGTGATCCGCTGGAGGGAGAAACAGGTACGGGTGAGCGCTCCGAGTTCCACGGGGTATTTGTTAATCAAGGTTTTTGATCTGACTATTTCTGAACATTTGTAAGATCCAACTTGAAGTGAGCCGAATAGATACATCCGAAACTAAATCTGACAGTTAATTCGATAAACACAACTGAAAAGCAAGTTTGGAGCGCTTTAGGTTGTCTCCATGCTTCGGAACCGCTATTATGCGCATGGACTACCAAAGCAGGCGATTCGCACTCACCTTACAAGGCATTGGCAACTGGCAAAGCTTCCATGACACCAAAGATCCGCCTTCAGTCTTCGGTATCCTCATACGACACAATGTGTCATGTATTAATGTGGACGTGCAGTCCTTGTTTACTTGACTCGCAATGCTCAGAAAAGTTGACTCGCTTCGGAGGGATGCGAGCTCTTGCAACGTTGCTCAAAGCTCGTCGCATTGTAGACATCTCGCGTGAATGAAGTTCACCGTTCAAAATCCACGCCCAGTGTAGAGCGTCCAGGGTGACGGGGGCACTCTGTTCGAGATCTGCTCTGAGCGTGATTTTTTCAACTTTTGAGGGATATTGCCGGATATCCGCCAGGTCGACTAATAAGTATCTTGCCTCGTCACTGTAGGCGCAGCAACGGCCGCGCACTCAAATACACACGCGCTATAGCGAGCAAAGCAGCTCCACCGCAAGAACTGCTGCTCATGTCGGCGACGATGCTGTAGTCGCATCACGTTGCCTCGCTCTGGACGAAGGCACAATAACATTTGCCTTCCGCTGAGCAAGCAGCTACAGCTCTACTACCCGAGTCATGAGTCAGAACGATAGCTTCGCACAGAACGCAGTACCGCGTGAGCTCAGATGCACCTACCGCAGTAAGCCCTGCCCAAATGAGCGCGCTCGCAAGCGCAATGGCTCACTACACAAGCTCTGCCAAACACATCGACTCAAGGCCAACAAGACCCAGCGTGATATGCAACGTCGTCTACGCGAGCAGCGCAGACAGCAGCAACTCGACCGACAGCTCGCAGCCATGCAGGTCAGCACTGATGATTTCCAAGCCATGGTCGATGAGTTCCTGAAGACCGAAATTCCGCTAGAGCTAGACACAGACGCCGATCTTGACATGTGGGACGTCCCCGAGCCGCTTGAAGAGCCCACCGACTTGAATCCTGAAGATATCGAGCTGTTGGTTGCGCTACTGGGCACAAGCCGTACCGCATAAGCCGCTGGTTCCGCTGGCCAACGTTCTCCGTCCGACGGCAGTGAAAATCACCAGCGTGCTCCAAATTGAATTCTGCACGTCCATAAATATGAACCAGCCTGCCATGTCGCGGGCTCTGATCTCTGTCAGCAGGTTAAGCCTATGTTGATGATAGATAGTACCAACTAGCAAAAAACACTACATGTCAATGCGATAAGTTTAAATATAAATGAATGTTACTATTGATAACTGAATGACAAACATTGATCGACGTGCGCAATACTTGGAATTTAGTGAATCATTACTCAAAGGCTAGACAAACGACAACATGACCTTCGCGTACGAATCGAGTTTGTATTTAGTATGATATAGTTCTTCATCGCAGGTACTGCGCGTTGGTATATAGTTTTCCATTCAATTGTTTGTTCACAAGTCAGCTAGAGCGTCACGGACCAAGCATCGTCGAACACGGGCACGGACGTCATCATGGAAGGCGCCGTGGGGGATACGGGGCAAAACATGCTTTCATCCTTAACCGTCACTTGCGCCGGTTGCCGCGTGCTCGCACTGTCGGCGCCGAAGAGCAAAACTTCGAGGATCCGGACTTCAAGCAGGTCAAAGTTGCTCTGAAATGTGAAGCCGTCGATGGGCTCGGTGGTGCTCTGTGGGCTGTCGGGATTGAAGCGCGCTCGCTTCATGGCGCGGATACCGGTCTTGGGCGTCTGCGGAGTCACTACGCTCAGTCCATCGGCAGCTTGCTGCTCGAGGATGCGCTTCTTGCGCTTGTGCAGCCGCTGCTGGTTGGCGTTGGCCTTGCGGCGGTGGAAGTCGCAGAGTTTGTGTAGCGTGCCGTCCAGCTTGGTGGCGCGTGGCGCGTCACAGTACTTGCTGCGGTACGCGCACTTCATCTCGCGCGGCAGCGGCGCTGCGTGCGTGGCAACAACGGGCACGGTGGAAGTCATAGCGACCTGTTCTGTTCGGGCTGTTCGCCAGGTGATGTTTTGCGGAATGACACCCATGCCGCGCAACCTTCCGCCTCGCCGAGTACTATTCGCTCTGGCAGATAGGCCGCTTCTTTGGTCAGAAGAGGCTTGTCGACTCTTGAAGACCGTCGCGGTGTGGTCAGCAAAAGTGTGTTGACGAGGATGCGCCTGTGGTACTTTTGATTGTCCCCCCAGGTGATGGGCAAAAGTATTCACTTGGGGCCAGTATGGCGACCAACGAGATCTTGGTGTATGCCACACCTCTGTACGTCCGACGGGCAGCAAAGGAATCGTGCTCGTTGGCGGCTCGGCTCTGCTTTCGCGTGTCGGCAACAAATGGGAAAGTTGCGTCAGCGCTGGGCAAGCCCGCCAAAAAATCCGCGCTTCGGAGTCCGGCACTACCTGTACTCAGTGCCGCAGAGCAGGTTCCTGTGCATTGCAGGCTTTCAGTGCTCGCGCAGACACTTGATTCAATGGCTCGACACTTTCAGTGTACTGTTTTGGTTCGACTGGCTCACGACTGGTTGTAGTGAACCCCTGTTGCTTTCCGCTCGGAGGGGCACGATTACATTCGGCTTATACCCGCGGAAGCATCAGTCTGGCTTGAATCTACAGCTGCACAACACATGAGTCAAAACTCTTGACTCAAAAGCCTGGATACATATTCATGAATACGGTGCAGTACTCGCACGATGCAAGTCACGGCCAGCGTTGAAGTCTGCGACGCACGTAACGACGTCATTAAGGCTTAAGGCGGCGCCTGTCCAAACACGAAGTGAGCAGCAGTCAGTTCGGAAGCTGACTAGCTCGGTACGGAGAGGTGCACCTGCGCCGATATAATATATACTGTACTGTGACGATCCTCGTAACGGTAGTCGCATTCTTATCTCGCTCGTTTCAGGTCGAGACTTGGTTATCCAATGCTTCATGTAGACGCTATGAAAATCCATCACGGAGTCTTTGGGTGGCATAGCGTGAGCAAAACTGTACATGGTCATCTTGATGCCTCTGCTGTTGAAAGTACTCAGATTGGTATCAAATGAGAAAGCTGATTTCGTTACCACACGTTTACCTTTTAAAAAAAACTGTTATCTTAATACGCACGACAAAAATTTTACGTCGTCGTTCTTATCTACACGACGACCGATCCCATGTCGTCAGCGCTCGACGGTAGGAATGCCTCGAGTGGCGGCAACGTCTGTGGTTGCATGTCTAGCAGCAGCAATTCCAGGATGTCCATGTCTGTGGATCCGAGCATCGGGAAGGAACTGGTGCTCACCAGCGGCGTGTACTGTGGACAGCAATAGCTGCCACTCATCTGCGAGTAGCTGTCCGTGGGCGATTGCGCGACGGAATCGACGATCGGCTCGAGGCTGGTGCGGATCTTCTTGGTCGGGCGAGTCTTGGCTCGCCCAACTTCATCGACCGTAGACTCGCTCTGTTGGATACGCGCACGCTTCTCGCGCTGACGCCGGTGTAGCCGCTGCTGATTCAGATTCGCCTTTTGTCGATGGAACTCGCAGAGCTTGTGGAGTGTACCGTCAAGCTTGGTTGCGCGATGGTTGGTGCAGACCTTGCTGCGGTATCCGCACTGCAAGAGCAGGGAGGTGGAGGTTGGGACTTCGTCGTAGAAGGCAAACATACTGTGCGGCAGTAGCGTGGTGTAGTTGTGGCTGTCGGACCGCAAATTGAGTTGTGACGTACAAGCTTGTAAGTTGACACATCTATCCTACTACCGATACGCGTGACTGGTATAAGTACTGTATCTTGAAGAGGTGGAGGATTTTTTCTGTTTGTTGTTTCAACCTGGTCTGTCTGTCACTGGCCGTAGCAGCTCGAATATCCAGACAAAATTTGTGTAGCTATCTGGTGTTAGAAGGATTCATCTTTGACTTCGCTTTGGCCCCGGCAATTGCACTCGTAAATGTTAACTGAGCTCAAGCCCTTGATGCTCTGCCTCGGAATCAACTGGAGAGATTCAGTGAGAAGCGAGCTATGAAGATTCAAGAGTCGGTACGTGTCGAGCGTGGCGCCTAACTGCGATGTGTATCATCACTGTTGTGCGCGGAAGTCGTCCAGTGACCGGTGCCGCCTTCACTGCAGCAAATGGGAGCCAAGAATCCTGGCGATAATAAGGTCGCGTTTTTCATCCACGGATGGATGATCGACAGCACGTACGCCACTGACAAAATTGGCTAGAGTCTGCGGGCAACCGTCCACCATGACGAGGCACAAATCGAGCACGGTGCAGCCATCTCTCGATTTGTGCTTCGACTGCCTGGTCTGCCGATGGTACACCCCCTTGGGATGAGCTGCTTCAACCGTTCAGAGTGTTGGTCTGTTGCCCATGAATCTCGGTGGGGCAACAACAATAATTTGAGGAACGGCACAAACACATAAAGTCATGGAACAAATATAGAGGTCCTGAGATGCGAATCCAGTACCAACATGATAGCCAACCTCAGCGTTTGGACAATAGTATTGAAAAATTGATTGAGATCTGTGACTTTGAGCGCAGAACTGGACCGACAATGACACTGTTCGCCCATTCAGCGTATTTGGGATTGCGGGAGCTCTGCAGTTAAAGCAGACTCCAATTATCAGTAGGCTCTAGTATACCATACTAAAATGAACTTAAATAGACTACCACAGATACACCATCGCTCACGGGGCAAGTAGTCGAACACGACCGAAGTCAACCGCCGTAGCATAATACTTCACACTCCCACTTCGTGTTGCGATCTTACTTGATCTTCAAGCGCTCATTCAGGCACTGGCAAGACATTGAGTCGCTTACGTAGTCTGCAGAACTGTTGGGGACCAAGCGGCTTCGTGAAACTATCTGCAGCATTTTCTTCACTTGGACAGTACGTCACTTCAAAGACGCCACGTTCCACAAAGTCACGGATCTTGTGAAACTTCAGATCCACGCACTTTACTTTGTAGCCACTTCGCACCTTTTTGATCACCTGAATTGCAGTTTGATTGTCATCATAGAGAATCGTTTTCTTAGTTCGCCGAACCTTCAGCTCAGTACACAGATTGTGCGTCCACATTATCATGTTGGAGCACTCGCTAGCAGCAACAAACTCGGCGCTGCAAGTGTTGTCCGTCATGATCGGCTGCTTTTTGCTTTTGTACGCAAAAACACATCCATTCAACAGCAGCACATATCCTGTGACCGAACGGCGATCGTCTTTCTCATCCCCTAAGTCTGCATCAGCATAGGCAACTAGTTCCATTCCAGGAGACTCTAGTTTGTACCACACCAGTCCAAAGTCTCTCGTTCCTTGTAGGTAGCGGATGACCCGTTTAATTAACACTTAGTGCTTCTTTGTGTAGCAATTGAGAAAATTGCCTAGCGTACAAACAGCATTCGCAATGTCTGGACGAGAGCAGCTGACCAAGTATTGCAATGACCCCACTATACACTGGTAGTCTAGGTCAGGATCAATGCTCACACAAATCTGCTCCTTATCCGGATCACCCGGGAGCGGGAAATTACCTTTCACTTGCGGCGTAGCCACAGCCTTGCAATTGGCCATCTTAAAGCGCTCCAGCAACTGAGCAACATAACCACGCTGCGAGATCGACAGCATCTGGCTTGGCACGTACTTGATCACCATAGAAAGTAAGTAACTGACATCACCAAGGTCCTTCACCTTGAACTTATTTCTAAGCTCAGCCATGACCAGCTCGGTGTTCTCCTTCGTCGCGGCAATGACAATATCATCAATATACACAGTCAGAAAGATAGGACTGTCATTTACCCACCGATAATATATTCCACCGTCCATTTTCGATCTCTGAAACCCGCACGCTCTCAAATACTTGTCGAGCATCTTGTATCATATGCGAGGGGCCTGCTTGAGCCCATACAAACTCCTCGGCAGCCTGCAAACACGTCCAGTTCCATCGTCGAAAAAAATCAGGCTGGTACATGTAGATCTCACAGTCAATCGCACCATTGAGAAAAGCGGTAACAAAGTCAACATGGCGACAAAGCAATCCATAGTGTAATGCAAGCAGAAGGATCAGTCTCACAGCTTCCGAATTCACCACCGGGGCATAAGTCTCCCAAACATTCAATCCAAACTTCTGTTGACATCCCTTAATCGTAATCCTTGCACGATGGCGTTTCACTTCACCTTTAGCATTGCGCTTCCGGACAAAGATCCATTTACTTGTCAAGACCTTCGCTCCTTGAGGCTTCTCTACCAATTCCCATGTATTGTTCCGCAACAATTCTCTATACTCCTTGTTTAGCGCCTCAACCCATTCTCTGAGTCAGGTGCCTCCAAAGCAGCTTTCACGGAAGTCGGCTCCTGTATAGCATTTGCCGCTTGTATCATTAAACTTTCTGGAAGTTCCATCTCGTAGTCACTGAACCGAACGTTTTGCTGTCTAACACGAGTTGAGCGACGAAATGAGGCCCCCAATCTATTGTCTTCCTCATCGTCTTCTTCATCATCACTTGCCAGTGATATACTGTCTCCCACTGAGCCTGCACGGCTCTTCACTCGGTCTCCGGAAGCGATAACATCAGCTTCCTCCTCCTCCTCCACCTCATCCGCAATAACTGCAACCTGCACTTGAAAAGATTCAGGCAATTCCCGAAGCGGGGTTGAGTGGCTGTTAGACACACCCACACCAGTCTCAGATCCCCATTCTCTTCATGTGGTTCTTGTTCATGCTCCACACATTCATCTTGCTGCTGCGGTGCACCCCAAGGCGATAGCTGAGCATATGCCAACGGCATCCTCACTGGAGACGAACTCGACAGTTCAAGCGTAGGCTCACCCACACCAACCGGAGATTGCTCCACCACAACATTAGATCCAGAACTACCATGTGCATCTGCAAGATATTGACGTTTGGCAGGAGGTCCAGTCAACAGTTCATGTGTTACAGCAGCCATGACCGGTAAATGAACCAGAGGAATCACTTCTGGAAGGACAAAATGACGCCGTCGATATCTATTTGCCAGTACGTGCTCCACGTACAAACTATCAGCAGTCCAATCTTCGTCAAACTCCACAGAACGTTGCTCTTGAATGTCACCAGTTCTTAAATTCAGAACTCGAAGTCCTTCAGAATTCTTAGCAAAACCGATGAAGAGAGCCAACTTGCCAGGATTCTCGAGCTTGTTAGCCCTCAGGACTTTTGGTGTAAACACGTGCACAATACATCCCCATGTACGTAGCTTCTCACCGTCAGGTCTCTCACCAAACCGTCGAGTGTATGGGGTGTCTCCGTCAAGTGCACTACACGGGCTCACATTCATAACTTCCGCTGCAAATGTAAACACCTCACCCCACAGACTTTGTCAGTAAACTGCGAACACGCCCCAGCAATACACCATTCATCTTCTCGACTATCCCATTCTCCTCAGGACTGTAAGCATTCGTCCATAGAACTCAACTCCTCTCCCCCTGAGGAATGATTTCAGTCTCTTATTGGCCAGTTCTCTACCTGATCAGTCGAGAAGACTTCAATGCGATGGCCTTGTGCTAATAGCCACTCCAGATGAGCTTTCACTACATCAGTAGCATCTCCTTTTTCCTTCATCAAAAATCCCCAGACATATCGGGTGGCTTCATCCACCACGAGTTGAAAATGGTGGTATGCATCGTAGGTTTCCAACCCCACATGACACATGTCGGACATGAGCTTTTGGTATGGCTTGGTTGCACGTCTTGTACGCGTTAACTTGTATGACATGCGCTTCTGCTTGGATGCAATACATGTCCAACATTTCCCATCACAACCCGATGCATTCTGTGAAAGACTGGTGCACAATCCATCTAAGCCGCTTTTCTCGTTGCCATTCGTCGCAGTGCCGAGTAGTTAAGATGCGCAAATCGCATGTGCCATCGTTCAAACTCATTCACAGTCTTAGTGGTTGGTTGAACTGCTTGTACTTCACAACCTTCAGCTGGTCTCGCTTCAAATCGATACCTTCCCCGAATTTTCTTGAGCAGCAGCTTCATGTTGTTGTCCTTTTCCAACCAGCAAACACGCTTGCCATTTAGTTGCTCGAAGCTCACTACCCACCTTTTTCTCTCCAGTAGGTCCGAACTTAGTATATTATCATGTCCTTCGGAGTATGGACGACATTAGCCAGAGTCAACACTTCCTCATGATGCGAAACGGTATTCATCACTTGAAGACTTAGTGTCCCTACCATGCGGTCTCCTTTTGTCTGTCCATCGAAATCCAAGAAGATATGCTCCCAATCCGTTCGCCGGTCAGTCAGCAACTCCTTATTCGTGCACACATGTACATCAGTCGCTGTATCTAACACCCACTCCACCATCGAAGGCTTGTGGCGTCGAGCACCGACCACAGTCGCTCCAATCTTGCGCTGTGTCAACGCATCAACACTTTTCTTTGCCTTTTTTGCATCATCTCCTTTCTTGTTTTGCCACCTTTTCGACTCCATGCCTGCCGATGCATTCTGGCCACTTGAATCATCTCCAGACTTCTTATTAGGACAATTCGCCTTGATGTGACCATGCTCGCCACATTCCCAGCAACCATCAGATTTCTGGACATTACGGTCCTGGGTTTTCTTCTTGGCTTTGTATTTCCCACGGCCTCGCTGTTTCTTGCCTTTACCGGCATTACCTTCATTACATTACCACCGCTTTGTTTATTCTGGTTCGCTTTGACCTTATTAGTAGACTCGATGCTGGACCGAGGCACTTCCTCAGCGACCTATTCATCAAGATCTTCCTCAGCAGGAGAGCATTCATCACTTGGGCAACTGTGGGTGCGAGCTGATGGGCTCCAGGCAAAGCAAGCACAGCATAGTGTCGTGAAAACTGTCGCACCACATCACGATGTGTGCGTGACACATTGCCCAGCAAAATCTCAGCGAACTCCTCATCACTAATCATTTTGCCATAATGCTGGAGTTCACGCTTCTGCAACTCCATATCCCTCAACCAATCACTCAGCTTCACATCTCGAGTGAAGTTGTTTGAGTATAGCTGCTCACGGGCAAAAATGTAATTAGCGTACTCACGCTTCGTTTGCTTGTTCTCGAAGTAAGTCCACATATTTCTAGCGGAATCCTCATGACAAACCATTTCTGCATCAGCTTCAGGAACTCCACGTAGTATTGCATCCCGGGCTGCATTGTCACGAGCGTTGAAATCAGCTGGAGCTTGGGCATCGACAAGAGGTCGTATGTAACGGGGTTACACGGGTTTACACCT